TCTTTTGCTGCTTAAGTTGTCTATGTCAACAGGACCTTTCCAGAAGATCACTTGGCTGTGGAATAACATACCCTACAGTGTTTAATATGATGTAGAGTTCAAAAAAATATGCTTTAAATCCGATTCTTTAGCCATATGCCAACTTAATACGACAATGTGCCAAGCATGTTACTTAGAGACATTACCCCTGCAGCCTGCTTTGGTCACGACACGCATGAACTCCTCTCTCTCTCTCCCCCTTGCAAAGAACTGAACACATCCAGTGCTTCCAAAGACAATGTTATAATACCTGGCCAACGCACCACAAACGTATTTTCACCTAAACGTGGTGGATATGCTATCAGGTTTCATCTCCACAATGACGGTTGGATGCAGTGTATATTCAGCAACGTTTTTTTTTTTTGGTCATGGTTGTAAACTCTTTCAGACTGTTCAATTATTGATGTTGTCCTCCCGTTTTTATCATTGTGTATCTTTTGCTCTCTTGTCTGTAGCTGCATATTTTTTATATGTATTACTGCTTAATTTGTCCCCCCATGGGTCCAGGGGCCCAGTCTAGGGGTAAAAAAAAGAATAGACATATTGCCTCCCTTATAAGCATGTTGTACAAGGTGAGTGATTAGAGGAGTTTCCTTTGAAGTGGGAGTGCATCTGCCTGAGAGGGGAGGAAACTAACGTCTGCATACAGATAAGCTAGATTTGAAAGAGGGGATGTGCATGTAAAACTTAAGACCTGGAACAAGTCTAAAAAGTCCAGAACTGGATGAACAAGCAGAACTTTCCACTAGAGTTTACAGCTGGTGAACACGAAGAAGTCTGGATCTGGTAGAAATATTTCATGTGTCATTGTAAAATTTCTTTCTGTAATGTTCTTTTCATTCCTAGCTTCTTCTGAACCTGTTTTTGTTTATGTGCAACATAGCTTATTCTTCTGTCTATCTACATGTCTGTACTCATAATAGAGATTTTATAATAATTGTTTTCACATTAGACATGAGTTTATCCACGTCAGGACAGTTCCAAAATAGGTAAACATTTCTGGATATATCATCTTCAGACTTTTAGCTTCTTTAACCCTGTGAGACGTTTAATTTGCTACTGGAAACACATTTTGTATCTTCATCCCTTCTGAAAGGACAGTGATGTATGTTTATGTTTCCTTGTCTGCTCCTTAAGTCTTTACTTTATTAGTAAATTATATCAAATTTAAACAAAATTAGTCACAGGGAGGTTACGGCACTGTCGAAGAACACAGCAATGCTATTGGTAAGATGTCATCTCCAAGTGTGGGTTCTGGGGCCTCATTGTGGGGGAAACAAGAATAGACCCACTGCCTCCCCAGCAAGCAAGTCATAGGAGTCGACTAACTGGGGGATGGGGGGGGGGGGGGGGGGGGGGGGGGGGGGGCTCTCTGGAGTCGAAGTGCACCTGCACGAGCTGCTAGGAAGAACCAACTGCAAACAATAAGCCAGTAAAACGATCTATTCACTAATCACAAGAAGTCTAGATATGAAATCTAATGCTCCAAGATTAAAGGCTAAGGTATGTTCTCAAATAGTATCTTCAATTATACATCCGTTTTGGTATTTACCTATCAAATTATGTACTTATAATTGTAAAAGCGAGAGATGTCAATTGAAGTATAAGGGAAGAAACTCTCATATACCTGACAAAATGGAACAACATGATTATCTCACCTTATTTGCAGCTTTCCATTAGGTGGCCTAAAATATAAATTAGTATTCTTTACAAGATAGAAAGTAAATATGGCCTGCATGATACTGACATCATCATACACGTAATACCAGCTGATCTGCAAAATTGTACCATATTTCCACCTTGCCTTAAGGCATGGAAATGAGACTTTTGTTAAGTCTGTAATGAAAATTCTGCAAACTATGAACTGAAACAACAACAAAGTTCTTAGAATACCATTGACGAAGAAGAAGAAGAAACATATTGATATGCTACAAGATCCAAGAATGGAAGGAAGTGGCTCAGAAACAGCATCCTGTTTCCGAAAGCTAAGCTATTTTGGCCACGTTAAACATCATAGTTGCCTGGAGAGAACGGTGATGGAGCTGACAGTTTCAGTGAAATGAAGCACAGGCAGAGAGAAGGTGGATACAAGACACTGAAGATGCACTGGATTTGAAAGCACACAGGGCTAGAGAATTGGCTAGAAAAAGAGAGGCTTGCAGGTCTTCTGCAATGAAAGTAATCAAGTGAATTCCTAGTCTGCTACATATTGGGTGGAATGGTACTTGTCTGAAGCAAGTTAAAGAATCTAAATTTCTAGGAAATATATTCTCGGAAAATGGAAGAATAGACCAGGAAATAGAAAAAAGATGCTAAGGAGCCAGTGCACTTATTTACCAATGACATCATTATTAGGACATCCAAACATAAGTATGAGCGCCAAGATAAACAGCATATTCATACCAACAATTTGCTACCAGTGCCAGATTTGGACACTATCAAAGGCTAGTCTACCTAAAATTAATATCTGTGAAATTATATGCCTGAGAAAAGCCGCTAACTTAACCATTCAAGACAAAGTTAGAAATGATTTTATCAGACAGACTGTAAGAACAAAACCTTGCAGCGAATTCATTGAGAAACAGAGGATCAAATGGTTTGGTCGTTTAGTTAGAATGGAGCAAGAACAACACAGGCGTTACACATGAAAAGATCTGAAGTGAAAGCAAGAGGCAGAAGATGTATTGATGACATTAAAGCGCTTCTATATCAACACAGAATGACAGTAGCCATTGCTGCCCATCAAGCAATCACAAACTGTTTCTTCCCATAACGCTTAACAGCATAAGTGGAAATTGATGATGCAACGAAAGTGACAGTCTGTAAATGACCTGCTGATTGATGATGATTTACACATGCAGATACATTTAAAAAAAAATGGTAAACAATAACCAAGAAATCAGACATAAATTACTGACATTTATTATTCAATTAACTCAGAAAGTACCAGTCCCCACACTAAACACTAACACAGCTGGTGTTACTACTGCATTTAACAATCACACGATCACAAAGAGACAATACTGACAGACAATGGAAGACATCAATCACTACTGCATAGAAACGTGCATTACAACAACTTACAAATCACCATTTTAACTGTTACAAATGAATTAAGATTACTGGCACATTTCACAACCTACAAAATAAATATATTTATTAGCACATTCTAAAGATCAAAGCAAATCATGCCACTTCTACTAGGAGGGACAAGACAAAACTGACACCTGAGATAGAAGTACCATTCGCTGGATAGTAGGTACAGAGACAACAAAAACATGACAAATTTGCTTTAAAAAAAATCTCAGTCAATTAAAACAGAAGAAAAAGATGCACAACAGAACACAAACAGGAAAATGTGCTAACAGTGTGACAGTATGACTGTCTCAGAAGCCCCAGTGAAATCAGAAAGAAATACAAGCAGACTTACAATACAATGAAGAGAATTAGATCCAGAGATAATATAGAGGGATCATCAAGGGAACTGCAGGAGATGGCATGTTATGTGGTTTTGGCAAGAGATAGTAGAGAGCCTATGCTCCGAAAATTGTAGTTAGAAGAAAAGCAAGAACTAGGTGGATAAACTCATTGCAGTCCAAGCAAGACAGCTAGCTGAAGATAATAGAAAAAATCTTCAGCTAATTTTCCCCTAATGGATCACACAAATTGGGGAGCTGAGTGGTCTCAAGGTATGATGTCTGCCTCGAGTGCTGGAGGTCCCGGGTTCAAGCCCCAGTGAAGGCTAGAATTTTTTCACATGGACTTCTAGTAATTTTCCCTGGTCTCTAGGTAGTAAGATTGAACGCCTGTGTGTATTCTTGAGCACGTAAAAAAAATCTTTTGGCAGTTGGAAATCAAAAAGAGTAGCCTAACGGTGCTGCCCAGGCAAACATTTGGAGTTAAAAATAAACTTAAACAATGTATACCAGACTAAATAAACATCAGAATTAGCACATTTTACAAATGTGAAGCAAACATGTGATAAATGCATTTATACAGAAAGTGAATCACTACATTCAAATACAGCACTCACATCCTAAAACTCACTGACCCATGGACAATCTTAAAATCATTAGATGTTTTGTTGCAGATTAAAATGTATCTCTACAAACAACAATCAGACTAAAGCTAAATGACATTTTTTTCAAAAAGCAAATTTATTAGAGAAATCCTGCATAAATTAAATGACACAAGAGTGCAGAAAGTATTGTTTCATGACAGTATGCAACAGTGAAGTGACAGAATGGTTTGAAGTAAACCTAACGGTAAAGCTGGAAGACGGAACTAAGAGATAAGTGCAAAACAGATGTAAGAAAAAGTGGCAAATAATCTTTTAAAAGAAAACAACACAACAGTTTTCTGTCTAAGAACAGGATGCTGCAGGGTCAACTACCATAAGCATGAAATAAAGACTGTACAGTCCTCAGTGTGCAAATCAGATGGGGGAACCACAAACACCTGAACACATTTAACAGGCCTGCCCACAATAGTTACACCTACAAAGAAAAACTTGCCCTCAAGAGCAAAGTGTGCAGTGCAAGCTAGGAGAACCATGGTGGACTTAGGGGTTCTTGCAATAACATGCAAATTCAGAGGCAGCAGACCGGATGGTCTGACCTCAGCATATGAAATTGAACATCAAGAAGATGAAGAAAACTGCTTTGTTTGACTCTTTGAGTCCCAAGGAACGCATCATACGTTTATAAGTTCCTACCAAGAAGCCCAAAGAACGCATGATGCGCCAATTTTATGACTCTCTTTACTACCCCCTGGGCTTGTGATGCTAAACCCCCTGGGACTCAAAGAGTTAAATTAAGGTTTGAGACTAGTTATATGAAATGATGCTGAGGCACTTGTACTGACATACAGAACATGTATTTGCATCATGGCATGAACAGAGGTCCTTAACTATCAATTTATGTTTAAACAGAAACAAGAACATTCAGGAATGCTTAAAAACTTTAACTACTCTTGGGTTTTGATGGGTCGTATCTATTTTTTGACTTGAACCACAGCATGAAAGGCATCCCAAGTGATGGCAGAGTCATGATGCCAAATACCAGCCAGTCCAACTGAAATGGACAAAACAAAACCAATTAAAAAGGACTGCAGAGCTTTTAACTCTTTCAGTACCAAGCAGATGTTACTTTAATTAGTTCTACTCTCCCCGTATGGGCTCTAGTGCACCATGTTGGAGAACAAAGAACAGACCCACTGCCACCTTTACAGACACGTCCTAAGAGACGACTAATTACTGATGTTTCTTTCAGAGTGCATATGCCTGACAGGAAAGGAACCAACAGTATGCATAGAAATAAGCCAGATTTGTAAAATGGACGTGTATGCAAATCTCAAGTTTTGGATCAAGACTGAAGTCCAGGAATCGATAAACAAAACTGATCACATTTATGCCAGAATTTACAGCCACTGAACGTCAAGAAAAGTTCTACTTTAGGAAGTTTTCGTTTTAAGTAATTAATGTTTGGATTTGGGGAGTTGAAATAATAACACCATCTGGATTGAGGATTTAAACTATCGACCCGAGAACAATTCTAGTCACTTCCATTTATGACAGTCCTATAAATGCCAATATATCAGCCTGTCTGCAGTGACCTGTTCTCGATCGAAAAGTGTAGTTAATTCACTGGTTCTATGTGCATCTGCACACTGTTTAATTAGGCTAGAATATGAATATAGTAACTAAAATTAGCATGGGGGGGGGGGGGGGGGTTCCTTATGACTCCAAGAGTTTTTTCTAAGCCAAATTGATGTCAAATATATATTTCAAGAAAAAAACAATGTAAAATAAATTTTCAAAAAATTTAGTAATGTCAGGCGCAAAATGTTGTTCCTTAAGGAATTTTGTTAATGAATTCCAATGGGATCATGGTCCCTTTTTTTTAAGCAATTAACTCTTTGAGTCCCAAGGAACGCATCACGCGCTGATTTGTTACTATTTCGTGGCCTAAACAGCGCGTGACGTGTGACGGTTTTTAATTTACCACTTATCGGTAATTACACTCGAACCGCTCAATTTAAACTTTCTTTCCGGTTCTCAAGTGTGTAGTGAACACACGTGGAATGCATTCGTTTGGGTCTGGTGAGTTTTTAACGCTTTAAATCGATATTTGTGTGGTCTACTACGTTACCAAACAATTGTCTGAAAGCAATATGTCCGATCAGTCATCGTCTTCACGCCCATCAAAGTGATTTACTGCTTTAGAATCATCAAATTTGATAAAACAGTGGATCGATTAAAGTAATGTGGAGTTGGATAATGATAGTAGCGATGTGAAACTTCCCAAACCGTTGACGCGTCAAGTTTTGATGAGGAATGTGTGCGTAATTTACCTCCTGCTAAGAGGACAAAACTGACTAATTCTGCCATGGCAACACAAGAGAAGCACCTCGTAACGCGACACCAGCTAGCCCAAATGTCAGCGCTTCTAGTACTACTATCCATATCATCTAAAACCATAGATATATATCTATGAACAGGCTGACATGTTTTCAGTGCCTTTACAGTTTTTTCTATGTGAGGAATTAAATTGTTTTTAGAAAAGTCACTGTTTGTGCCACTGGAGAATATATTTTGACGTGTTATGGTAGTGTTATTAAAATTGCTATGGAACAGCAACTATTGCACATTTTGTTTTAATATTGGCTGTGCATACTTATAAGTGGTGTACCTTCCTTTGTGATGCATTTTGGATATAATATATCAAGAATGTTGGGATCAGCTTCTGGGTAAGTGGAAAAAACTTGTTGATAATTTACTCACCTCTCAAACTAAGTCACAGTTTTCTCTACTAAATACTAACAGTATAATTGTTTGTTGTAGCAGTATGCTAATATTAATCCTTATCCATTTATGTTTAATTTTATGAATGATATGTGTATGTTAGACGTCAGCTGCAGTTGTGTGGTTTGTTTTAAAGTGCCGCATTTGTAAAAAGTCAAAATCATACACCCCCCCCCCCCCCCCTGATGCAATGATGCAAAACCCCCTGGGACTCAGAGTTAATGGGTAAAAGGGCTAAAATAGCAGTTGTGGCAGAGTAGTCTGAGCAGTTGGGACAGAGTAGTTTGAGCAGTTGTGGCAGAGTAGTCTGAGCAGTTGGGACAGAGTAGTTTGAGCAGTTGGGACAGAGTAGTTTGAGCAGTTGTGGCAGAGTAGTTTGAGCAGTTGGGACAGAGTAGTTTGAGCAGTTGTGGCAGAGTAGTTTGAGCAGTTGGGACAGAGTAGTTTGAGCAGTTGTGGCAGAGTAGTCTGAGCAGTTGGGACAGAGTAGTTTGAGCAGTTGTGGCAGAGTAGTTTGAGCAGTTGGGGCATAGTATTTTGAGCAGTTGGGACAGAGTAGTTTGAGCAGTTGGGGCATAATATTTTGAGCAGTTGGGACAGAGTAGTTTGAGCAGTTGGGACAGAGTAGTTTGAGCAGTTGGGACAGAGTAGTTTGAGCAGTTGGGACAGAGTAGTTTTAGCAGTTGGGGCATAGTATTTTGAGCAGTTGGGACAGAGTAGTTTGAGCAGTTGGCACAGAGTAGTTTGAGCAGTTGGGACAGAGTAGTTTGAGCAGTTGGGACAGAGTAGTTTGAGCAGTTGTGGCATAGTATTTTGAGCAGATGGGACAGAGTAGTTTGAGCATTTGGGACAGAGTAGTTTGAGCAGTTGGGACAGAGTAGTTTGAGCAGTTGGGACAGAGTAGTTTGAGCTAACGAGTGTTTCCATAGCAAGCAGCTGCAGAAATAAAGGAATCCGTCAAATCCATGATTTGTTTCTGTCGGTACTCAGTATCGACAGCCTTTTGAGGCAGCATTTTTTTTAAGCACCACTATAATAAACAAGGAAAGGGGAAAAAGACATGGCTGACAACATGAATGTTTTATGAGCTGTTTCTTGGCAGTTAATGAATTAGCAATGATTTTATTGTAAGTAATTATGCAATCATGGCTCATTGACTTCTTCTTAAGTGTTCACCGGTTGTAAACTGTGGCAGAAAATTCTGGTTGCTTGTCCACTCCTTGACTATAGTCTTGATCCTTCTTCTTTGTTCACCAGCTGTAAGCTGTACATCCATTTTACTGGTTTGTTTGTGTGCAGTTGGTTGTTCCTTGCTTCCCTGGCAGATGCATTCCGACTTCCAAAGAAGCCCCTAATTAGTCCTTCTACAACATGCTTGTTTTCCACACAATGGGGTCCCAGAATCCACAATACACAGAGAAGGGAGGGGGGTGTCTTTATTCAGAACTTGAGTTTTGCGTGCACGTCTGTTTTACAGATCTGGTGAACTCTGTAATTCTGAAATATCTGGTTCAATTTGATGAATTAGCAGCAGACAGCATTGCCTTGATTTAAACAGAAGCATCGACTGTTCAGAAAGCCATGGCAAATTACTGAATGTAAAACTACCTATAAAACCATTAACAGAAAACAAATGATGGGGGTGGGGGCTGGTGTGTGAAATCCTGTAAAGGAACTGTAACTGACTCTTTAATCAGGGATGTGTGGCAATGGCTTTGTTAGTAACAGGTTTGTCCTATCTTATACATGTAATAAAAGATGATGCAGAAGTAAAAAGGTAACAAAAATCAAAAAGAGAAAAAAAAAAAAAACAGCAGCACATTAAAATACTGATAATCTCACCGTGTGTGATGAAAATCTGCGTTCAAACTCTTTTTGTGGCACAATAAATCCCTCTCCAGGGAAACTGGAGGATACAAACTGTAAAACAGAATTATACAATCAAATCAAAATATAAATCTTTAAAAAACACATCAAACTAAAAAATTTTATAGCTTATTATTTAAATGGTATGACAGAATCACCAATGTAGAGCTTTGCGAGAGAACCAAACAAGTCCCAGTAGACCAAGAGGTGAAGAAAAGATACTGGCACTGGATAGGACACATGTTTAGAAAACTTGAGAACAATACAACTAAAATGTTTTTGTACTGGAACCCACAGGGCAAAGAAATAAAGTAAGATCAGAAAACACATGGAAAAAGGAGCTAGAGAGAGAAGTTAAAAAGATGGAAAGAGCTGCTTACGATAGCGAAGGATAGAATGATTTGGCGTGACTTGGTTGAGGGTCTATGCTCCAGTGGGAGTTAGAAAGTTAGAAGAAGATTGTTTAAATACAACCTATATAATGTAAAAGAACAGCTGTGGTAGAGCACTAGCTATATGCTTCCCTGCTCACCCGGGGGTCTTAGGGTTAAATCTCCATTGAGTCAGATTTTTAAAAAATTTATTCTCGGCTCTCTGCCCTCAACCTGGCTTAAAAAGACCTGTCTATCTGCCATGTGAATGTATTAACAGAAACTTAAAAAGAGAAGTTCTGTGCATATTTATGGACGCTGCCAAGCACATTTAACCAGTTTTCTGGGAGGAAAATGGGGCCTCACTCAAGGGACTTAGGCCCCTGGGCTCTGGCACGCCTAAGCAGGAATGACTTGACATCAGAATTAAATATTATAAGTCTGGTACTTACTGAGTTTAAAATAAGTAAAATTAACTCAGTATTAAAATAAACACTTCATTAGCTAACTACTAGATAAAATATAAAGCAAAGGCACACTTACAAATCTCCGTGAACCTTCCTCCTCTGATGTGAGATAGCTGACCTCTGCTGCAGTGAAGTTATAGTGTCCAGAAATCAAAGGTCTCACGACCAATACATGGGTTATATTAGTCTGTCTGTTTTTAGTTAAAGAAACAGTGAACAATTTGTAAATCATAAAATATCACCATGTTTTTTTAGCCCTTCAGCTGATGACAGAAACAAGGTGATCGTGAAACTGTCTCATTCATTGATTCTCTTATTCTCTGTCTTGTCAGTTCTCTGTAATTCTATGTGTGTCTGTGTTAATTCACATGTGCATGGTCATTTTATCAATGAATTTATATTTTTTTTTCACTGGGGGGGGGGGGGGGGGGAGACGCCCACACCTCCCCCCCACCACAAAAAAAAAAAAACATGGAGAAAGGGGCTGGAGTATGTAGTTAAAAAAAACAGGGAGGGCATGGAGTGAGCTACATGTAATAGCAAAGGATAAGACAACTTCGCATAAGTTTTTTAAGGCCTATGCTCCAGTTGGAGATGAAGGGCAGGAGTAGGATGAGAAGCTTTTATGAATACAGCCAGAACATTGCTCTCGTCACGGCACACCTGAAAGTCTCTCTTTCTCTAGCCAATTCTCCAGTCCAGTGTGCTTTCACAGCCAATAAATCTTCAATGTCCTGTATTCGCCTTTGCAGAGGTCAGTCCCTGCCTCTTTTCCCAGAAACTGCATCCTCCTTCACTGTTCTGTCCAGACCACCATATTGACATGCTACTATAGCTATACTTAAAACTATCTCTTTTCTAGGTATCTATGCACAATAAAGCAACATTAGTTTGTAGAAAAAAAAATTCTAGGTTCACAGAATTTCACACAACCCCTGATTGTGAAAGGGCTAGGAGGTCTAATTAAACAAAGTATAATTGCCTAAATACAGTAAAGACAATATTTCTACTGAAATCTGATTAAAAGTTTTTTTTATGTGCAAATTTATTAAACTCCAAGAGTTAATAGATATCAGATTATTATATCTGATAATATGCTCTACCCTAGAAATGTCATTCAGTCAAAACAAAACAACAATCGCATTTGTTAAAGCTCTTTCTTTAGCCTTAAGTGAAAGTCACTAAAACTAGATGAAGGTGTGGATTTTTATTGACACTATCACGGAATATTAGTGACTGAACGCAGTGCGTATAATCAGTATGTTAGGGGAACAGTTAGCATCTATACCATAGGATATTTGCTGCAGGAGACAGAGCCTCTGTGGGAATACCCAGTGTGCTATATGTAAATTATTAAATCAGTATACCAGGACTAAAGATGTATACTCCTCTTAAACCTTTCCCTCTGCCTTGCATGGAGCACAGGCTCTCAACCAACATGTGCCAAGTTAACCTATCCTTTGCCCACACATGCAGCTTTCTCAATCCCCCTCCCCCGGCACCAAGCTCAAATTTCTCTTCATGTATTAACTAGCTTCCCTTTTACTTCTCAGCCATGTTAAGTTCCAGTGCAAAAAATTCTAGTTATATTATTATCTCAGGTACTATCAATTTAGTTTACCCTATCTTGGGGAACCAGAGAGTTTCCAGGGAAAGACCAGTATTTTAGAGGGTGAGGGTTAGGTCAAAGCTCATTTCCCACGCCCCTATACTATAGGACTTTCTCAGAGAATTCCCTGGCAATTCTCGGAGTCCTCAAGATGGGGTGAACTACAACTAAAAGTCCATATCTTGTACACAATTGGTTAACGTTTGTGGCCCAAGTACTTTGAGGGATAAAGTGGCCAATCTTAAGTCGAATCCTTTCCTTTGTCACAGCATGCGCCATGCCTGGAACAGTGTAGTGTTGTTTTTCTTTGCCTTTCCTTAGGGTAGTGTTTCCCAAACTTTTCTTGGTCGCTGCGCCTTTTTTTTTCAATAAAAATTTCTCCACGGCGCCCTAACCTAAGTAAAAGTATGACTATTCATGTCTTGGTTAAATAAATTATGAAGCTTTTACAATATTTTGGGGCGCCCCTGTGAAGAGGTTGCGGCTCCGTGGGGCGCACAGTTTGGAAATCACTGCCTTAGGGTAATAAATGGGCAAATCATGTATATTCACACTCTTGAGTGAATCTGTAGGAATTCCCAGGGAAAATCCTCAAAACAAACATTAAAAGAAACACACACAAAAATCCCACTCATACACATCTATACATCTCACCAATAAACTTAAAAAAAATATATCTGTTATAAAAAAAAATATGGGGGGTCTAAATATATAAAATGGATAATTAATAAACATGAAAAGAGTGAAGCAATCAATAAAAAAAATATGTCCAGGTTACTCATGCCATGACTGAGGCTTATGGCGAAATCTTACATCAACTTGGCTTTTAACCCTTTGAGTCCCAGGGGGTTTAGCATCACAGGCCCAGGGGGTAGTAAACAATGTCTTTAAATCGGCGCATCATGCGTTCATTGGGCTTTTAGGTAGGAACCTATGAACATATGATGCGTTCTTTGGGACTCAAAGAGTTAAAAAACTACTGGGGTCATAAAAAGAAATTTCCTAATGCTTTTTTTTTTCAGTTACTCTATTAATATTCTGGACCCCTAAATACTGTGCAGACATCCACGGAACCAATAAAATTTAAATAAGCTTTTCTAGAACAGGTCACAGCAGACAGGCTGTTATATCGCCATTCACAAGGTGACAGGGCTAAGAACAACAAACATGTTTACAAAACACAGCTCATGTAGGCAACATGTTCCTGCAAGGATACGGAGATATTCTCTCCCATCTGACTTGGCGGCTGCCACTGACAGTACTAAAGGCAGTGTCTGGAAAGCCATGGTCTTTCAACACTACACCGTAGACTGCACTGTAGAATACAAATTTTATATGGTGATATTTGCTGTTCAGTTTGTATCATTTCTAGATATCTCAAGTATTTATAAGATAGTCTCCTCTGATATTATGCCAAAATGGAGCATAAACCTGCCAACCTATGCAAGACCTTTCTCTGTAAACTTGTTCACAACTGAGCTGAAGATCCTTACAAAACTGGATAGCTAGTCCCACACCATATAGAGTCTGGATAAGTAGAAGTCGCAGGGACCTAAAAAAATGCTTCCACTTATCAGGATTTCTACTTATCCAGACTCACAACAGAGAAAATTGCTGGGACTAAGCTGGTCATGTCGACTTACCTGAAATTCAACTTATTCGAGTTCGACTTAAGTGGACTCAACTGTATCCCTTATTGTTTCATATGGCATGCTCGATGGGTTACTGTGTAATTATTCTTGCTTTCTTATCAGGCTTTGCTACTGACTGCCACCATGTTTCCTGTCTCTTTTCTAAGTATTGTAAAAACTTGAATTCCATGGGAATGAAAACAGTTTGTATTAAAACATAATTCCTTGCTAGCTGGGGACAAATAACAATAATACATTCCTGCTGGGACCAAAATTTTGTTCATCTTAACTGAACTTTCTTAAGTCAGTTTGTGTTAACGAGGGTTTTAATGTACAAGTATCATAATGCAAATGTGGAGGTCAACAAAGATATCAGGTTTATTCTCTACATACTATAAGCATCTAAGATAATCACAATTTTACTCTGAAGTATTAAAACGCATTAGGTCGAATACAACAACCATTCATCATCAGTCATCATCATCACCTTGTTGTGCTATGTTACATAGGGCTCAAAGTTTATTCTTTCATTCTAATGTATTAGAAGCAATCCTTTTAATAACATGGACTGAATCCAGTCCAGCACCTTTAGCCTCTCTTGTGAACATTCACTTTTGAGTTTTCCACGACATACTTATTAAGGCTATTCAGAATAACAAATGTAAATTCATTTTTTTAAATTACTCAATAAGTGATTACCTTTTTAATTAAGAACTGACATCACACCACTCAGGACGGTCGCCTTTTCTGGGTTGATTTCAGCGCTCATCTCTGTACACCTTACTGTTGCCTGTAACTCTTCAGCTATTTGATTCCGATCTCTCAATTCCGATCTCTCACCTTCCTATATACATTTTCTATCTGCACTTGCAGTAAGCTACAATAATTAAAGAAACAATTACTGTCACTATCAGCTCTTGTCCTTATTGAAACTTAGGGCATTTTGACTGGGTAGCTAGGATTCAAAGAGTGACTGATGATAATATAGTCTTAAGCTATAAACTATAAACAACTTAACTGAAAATACAAAATATATACTCAAAGAACATCAAAACAGTTCAGTAGATGAAAAGCAAAAGTGCAACATACCTTTTGCCAATGTTGTATATTTTATATTCTATTGTTAGGTCCTTTCTTTCAACAGCATATCTGTTCAGAATGTTCTTTGAAACTAGAATTCTGGACTCCACTTCGTCTTCACCAAATGATGGTAAGAAGCAGCCAAAAGTCAAAATCAGAGCAGCTATCCACAACTTCATCTACAGAAATAATCAAAATCATCAAATTAAAGTATGCGATTATAGTTCATCAAATACAGTGAGTGAACACAAACAACATAACTGAACGTAAGACTGCTTAGTCTGCTTAAAACCACACACAACTACATGGTTCGTTTGCAACATTTTGTAAAGAACAGACACAGAGGGCAACTTTAAAATTATTTAAAACTTGGCTCTACTTTCAAATTTGGCCGGTAAGCTGGACTGCTTCGGCCGGCTTAGCGGGGCTTAGTGGGAGTTATGTACCGTGGCGGCACTCAAAACAAGTCACGGAAAAAGTCACGAATCAAATGGCATACTTACCTATCATCATCCGGTTGCGTGTAGGGTTGCGTAGGGTGTCTTTCATCGTTCTACGGTTGCGTGTAGGGCTGCTTATTGCGTGTAGGTTGGTTGTTTGCGTAAGATGAGGGGTAGGGTTAGGGTTTAAGGTTAGGGTTTAGGGTTAGGGTTAGGGTTTAGGGTTAGGGTTTAGGGGTATGGTTCGATTTGAAAATTTTCACGTAGGACTGTGCGTGCGCGACGTCGACGAAGTTGGTCTGGTGGACTACTACCTCGTCCAGATAGATGCCATGCCTTAAGTTTGCGACGTTGCTGTAGCCTCGCCAAGCGTCAGTGACGATGGTCGTTCCCGGCAGTACGTGATCTTTTATGATCCTCTCCAATGTCGCCGCATCTCGTTTTCGCACAAGCTCCAAGTAGCAACGGCCAGTCTCACGCTCTACTAGCCCGACGACCGTGACGGATGGGACCACCGCGCTGATACTTTAATGCATGCAGATCTGCAGGAGTTACGTCCGTGGCAACTAAGTCGTGCGTCGCAAGAATGTTGTTGCTTATGTGTATGGGAGCTCTCTGTCTAACTGCCATTTTGCTGTTGTGATTTGATTCGTGACTTCTTTTTCCGCTCGTTGTTTTGAGTGCGGCCACGGGACATAACTCCCACTAAGCCCCGCTAAGCCGGCCGAAGCAGTCCAGCTTACCGGCCAAATTTGAAAGTAGAGCCCAAAACTTTAAAAGAGCATTGTGCAATTTATTAATACAGTATAAACGTTACCACAAGCATTAATAGTTATTGGAGTAACCCTTGCTTGGAGTCACTGCCATTATATAACGATATACTAAACAATGCAGTTTAAAATCATAACAAAGTTACTCTAGTAGTTTGTGCGTGTGATTGTCACGACCAGCCTGCGCCACGTCACAACATTTGTCGTCCGCAAAAACTTCACTAATTCCACATCGATCAATTCAGATATTGTCTGCACCTTTATAAATGACGCGTATAAAGTCTCGAACAAATAAACAGATTTTAATTCTAATTTAAGATTGATTCTAGCTGAATTTTGCATTTGTCAACTTTGTGTGTGATCACAGACCAACCTTAGCAGCCGACACGTTCAAGCTCCACTCCACAGGATATTGAAAAGACCGCAGCTAAACAAAAACGACGTGTTTTTACCGGAACAAAATAAAACAATGCCATGGGCCTCGACCCACTGGCGGGTCGCAGAAAAGTCCTGGTGGGTCGCCAAATATTTCTGCCTTATCGTTTTACGGGGATATGTAGATAGTGTTCTCTTCCAGGGTTGTACCCTGCATGATAAAGACTCAAACAGGTCCAAGTGAGATTCAGCAAAACAAGTTAGCATTTAAAGACGTTAGCTGAAAACATTTATTGTTTCGAAATCGAAAAGCTAGCTGATCGAGGTGCCCTCTGATGTCAGTCTTGTGTTCAGACATAGAATCCAACCGTTGTCAGATGTTTGGATATCGCTTGAAAAAAGAATATCCATAATTCAAACTTCGCCGTCCTCATGCAGAGCGAGAAGGACATAGTGATGGAAGATTACATTTGCATATAATAATATGGCATGTTATGTTATCACAATCGACGTCACTGCATATTGGGCATTACCATTCGTGCTCAGTCCTCGTTTCGATGCAGCAGCCACTCCAGGCTACTTGTAAAAAAAAATGACCAGTGAGAAATTAGTTGTAATGTCTCATAGCTCGGCTATGAAGTCGGCATAGACGTGCTTCAGTATGCTTTACTTCCATGTCACGCAATCATGTTTGTGTCAGATATTCGTCATTTTCCACTAGCCCAGCCCGTTCAGCGTTGAGAATGTCTGCTCTGTCCATGCTTCTTTCGGGACCGTCGATCCTTTGTGATGTGTATGCCCCCGCTGATCTTGATCCGCGCTTCACGGATCCATCTGTGTAGACGATGATTTCTTCTGGGTGGGAATGTTGATCTATCAGTGCCCTTACTCTGTGTCTGCGGCCGGAGAATCTGATCCCTGCCTCTCTCTCTCTCTCTCTCTCTCTCTCTCTCTCTCTCTCTCTCTCTCTCTCTCTCTCTCTCCCCCCCCCCTTTTCATCGTGATGACAACCTTAAAGATGCCATGCGTGTCTGCTAGTGTATTCGTATTTTCTATGACTGATTTCGTCTAGATCACATAACTTCAAATCCACGTAAATGCGCTACACACAGTCTGCAACGAATATAACATGAAGATCAGCATCACCAAAAACAGAAATTCTGAAAATAAGTAGAACACCTAATATACTAACTATTCAAGTTAACAACGAACAACTCAAACAAGTGCAGCAATTTAAATACTTGGGGAGCATCTTCACAGATGATGGAAGAATTGATAGGGAACTTGAGGCAAGATGTCAAAAGGCGAACGCAGTAACTTACCAACTCTCCCCACTGCTAAAACACCCAAGCATCACTATGGCACTAAAACGACAACTGATAAATTGCATATTTATACCAACCCTCTGCTACCAATGCCAAAAAAGATCACGACGTGCGAAATGAGATGCTTACGTAGGGCTGCCAATGTCACAAGGAGAGACAGAGTTCGAAACGAGAACATTAGATCAATTGTAGGAACCACACCATGCCTGCAATACATAAAGAAGCAACAAATCGAGTGGTTTGGCCACTTGATGCGAATGCAAACCGACCAACTGCCTCTACGAGCATACAACGAACAACACTACTGCCCTAGAGCAAGAGGCAGACCGAGAGTACGATGGATAGACAATATATCAGAGATCCTGAGGCAACACGGACTAACAACAACACATGCAACACACCTGGCCCAGGATAGAAAACTGCGACTCCCCACTACGCTGTGATGCAATTGTGGACAAGACAAGACAAGACACATACTTGCTGAATTAAATCCTCAGCCTTAGCCATTCAGGAGCGGCCTCTTTTGAGACGCGTTCCTTTTGCGTTATGTGTAGCTTTGTGCAGTGGGTGGTTAACGTCTGCCGATACCCTCATGTACGCCTTAACCTGTGCAACTGTATCTGTTAGCCATCGTCTGCAAACCCAGGACATATCGCATGGCATGACATGATATCTCTTTTGTGCAGCTTAGCAATAGTCTCACGAAATCATTTTTTACTCGGTCCAGTCTTTCCAGTTAGGTTCTGCTGACAGTGAGGAGGCCCAGACCATAGTCAATTACGCTTAACACAAGCCCTTGACAAAGAAGGAAAAGTATGCGTTGTTCAATATCAGCTGCTGTTGGCATCTTGAGTGCTGTCAGGCTTTTCCTGACTTTAAGAATGACTTTGTTTACGTTATACTTGTAAAATGAATGAAGCCATGAGGGTAATTCTGGTATGTACGAGATACCCCGGTGGTATGTATCTGATATTTACTTGCATTACCGACTATTACAGATAGGCTGAAAGTGCTGCAAGGAAAGTCACAATGCAGAGTAGCTGTAGACAAGAAGAACCTACGGAATGAAGTCCTAGGTCAAATATTGAACTGACGAAGTTCTTTGACGGCGTAAGCTGAAGACACGATTAGGTCTCTGTAAAGGTAAAGAAACCCTTTCCACGCCTTGAGGCGTATTGGGCGTATGGGGCTAGACCTATATTTTATAGACCAATCGGCACTAGGTGGGTGATATTGTCAGCATCCGGCCGGTCGTATTTACTTCCCAGAACTTTACATAATACCCATTTAAGGCTAGGCCGACATGGTAGCCAAAGTCATTTTTGAAAATGGCTGGCTCCGCCAGGACCTCAACTCGCGATCTTTGGATCTACAGGTAAGTGTCTAGCCGCTACACCACGGCGACTGCCATTAGGCATGTGTGCCGGCTTGATAATACTGGACGAGGAAAGGTGTGGGTCTAAGTGTCCGAGCAACAATCAGACGTATGTACGATACTTATCACACTGGGCTTGCAACGGCACAGGATGCTTGGCAGATGCTCCACCAAGAAGAAAATATTCTAGTTATATTGCTGGGGGCGCTCTGCTGCCTGAAAATTACAAGAAAGGAAGGGGGAGAGGGGGGGGCCTCAATGTTTCGGAGCTCACAGTTTCTGGGGCCTAGGATAGGCATGGTAAGAAACGTTGGGTTGTCCCTACGGCACTCATGACACCCCTAGTTGGTACTCGATTCCCCAGCCATTCTACATAAACATCAGCATGTCAGAACTAGAGAGGTAGCTATCTTTAGAGCGTTTTTATATTGTCATAGGCTTAGTTTTGTTGCAGCACTTACAGTTTCAGTTAGAGAAAACATTGTTCATTTCTAAGATCGTCTTCATCGCACATCGGTGCTTGGACCATAAGTGCTCCGATCTCCTCCTGAGTATGTCTCCAAGTGTTTTAGGCTAACAATTTCCACTGTGTTCTGGATGATCTAACGATGGGTGGCTCCCGCTTAGTTTTCTTGTCTCCAAGTGTTACACCCAGGGTATGCAGTCAATTCAACAAACTAATTGCAGATCTAAGGAAAAACATTGGCTTACTCTCCAAGCAAGCAGAACTGATCTTGCATTGGATACCAGCCCACTGTGGTATTCAAGGAAATGAGAGAGCAGATGAGTTGGCAAAAGCTGGGAGTAATCTTCCACAACCTCATCCACCACACAGCTACAAGGAAACCAAAACAGCGCTAAAGCAGTCTTTCAAGCGGGAGTGGCGAAGGCAGAATGGAGATTACAGACTAGAGAGTGACAGCATAAACAAACTCAATAGGAAAGAACAAACAACAATTTTTAGACTTCGGACTAGACACTGTGGTCTTCGAGCACACCTGTACAGGATAGGCATAAAATAATCTGCTGCCTGTGATTGTGGAGCAGAACGACAGACCCTTGGGCACATACTACAGCACTGCCCTAACTTCTCCCAGCAAAGACTGTGGATCTGGCCCAAGGGAGCCACATTGAAAGAGAAGCTATGGGGGACCGGTGGCGACCTTAAACGCACAATCCTATTTGTGACCCAGACGGGACTCAATGTCTATCATGACTGATGTCGAACGCAGAAGAAGAAGAAGGATTTCCAAGAAACTGAAAGCCTAACAAAGTTTAGTCTTTCGTATGGCATTGATGATGTCTCTCCTGTCCATAGAGGACCAATTCGTCATAGTCGTACTGCGAGCCAGAGCGTCTGCTCTCTCATTGCCTTTCACACCAGCATGACATGTGAGAAAATGAAGGTGATTTTGCGAAACGTTGCGTGTTGTATCAGATGGAGCTACAGAGAAAGCAAACATAGTTGTTTAGTCAACCCGTTTATTAAAAAGTATGAAGCTGTTCAATAAAAGAACAAAACCAGGTACGGAAATGTTCCAGTCATGCTACATATTTTCAAAATAAAGCAAATTCAATGTTATTAAACAAAATATTTTGTAAAATATGTACATAAATAATTAATTGTTAGTATCTGCCTTGAAAAATGTCATTGTTTATCATACTTGCCTATGCATACATAGTAGTCATAGGGTAATTTAAAAAGTTGTCAGCGAAGCAAAGTAATATTGTGTTTGTTGTTGGAGGCGAATACGATCATACACTACTCATACTGCGTGTTCGTTTACTTTAGTTGGTAAATTAACATACTTAATATTGAAAAAGGTCAATCAAATAACATGCTATACACAAGTTAAACTGTATCTTTACTTTACATTGTTTATTTTAAGCAGCCTTTGTTCTCAACTCTTAACACCAAATCAAATGGTCAGTGTAAAACACTGATTCGACATATTTTTATTTTGCTGTATGTATCAACTGTAACTCACTGTAGGGTTCTGAAACCTGGAATAAAACTAGACAAAGCCCGACTATAACTATATAGAGGAACGATGAACGGAGAGGGACCAAACAAAGAGATACCGCCCTGTGGGAGAAAGTTATTACAAGCGTTTGAGAGCAGAGATATATTTCTGAACCCATCAAACAGCAGAAACTAAAATTTGGGCTATCTTCCGAATAACGGTCCCAAATTATCGAGGCCGAAAATATACCCAACAGGGCCTCAGTCACATGTCAATTGTGAACTTCCGGTGACTTAAATTGCTCACTTCCGGCGATTTCCGCCACCGCCTAGAGTATCTCCCACGACGCTAGCGCGGCGTGCATTGGGGCTAAACTAGATGGCTGGGACTCACAAGCAGCAGCTACCGCATCTCCTCCAACTTCCTTCATTTTATTTGCTTGTGAGTCCCAGCCATCTAGTTTAGCCCCAGTCCACGTAGCGGCGTGGTAGATACTCTCGGTGGTGGCGGTATAGTTCCCGGAGTCCGCAATTCGGCGGTGGCAGTATAGTCCTCGGAAGTCTGCAAGTGACATATGACTAAGGCCCTGTTAGGGTATATTTTCGGCCTCGATAATTTGGGACCGTTATTCGGAAGGGAGCCAAAATTTGTAATCATTTTAAATCACCACCCACTACAAATTACTGGCATCTTGATGAGGACCACTAGTAGTATTAATTAATAGTCTGTAAGACTGAAAGGGTTAGGGCATATAGAGAGAATGCAGAGAGAGAGAGATAACAGAACTACTTACAGGAAGACTAAAGTCACCAAATGGAAAGAGAAGGTCACTCACAAATGAATGAAGACAGATGATATCTACCGCAATGAACCCTAAGAGCTGAATAAAAAGTAGAAGAAAAGTGTTTACAACTAAGTACAATTTATTTCATTTAAATTAAAGTGATAAACTAATAAGATAAAGTCCTAAGATTTAAATAAAACAGTATTTTTTTTTAAAACTTATAACACTTTATATTCCTATTTTGTTACTCAGTATCAAGTTTTTGTGACTAACTACTACTAACTTAGTAACTGGTAATTAGTTTTGCCATTACATGTGAATATAAACTCTTTCAACACTTAAAGAGTTTCAACAAAAAGAGGACAGAGGAGATAATAATGACATTTGAAATTTCACAAGTGTAACACATTAAGACTAATATAACGAACGAACAAACTTTATTTTCAAAGGGTTACAAAATAGGCACGCAGGCCTGTCTTACTTTCGGCCTTTCTAAACTCCCATCTTTCACACAGCAGTTGTATTTCATCAATAAAGCATGTTATGTTCATGTAATAATATGCATATTATGAATATCAAGTCAAAAACAAGGGTGATAAAATATGTGCGCACGCTCGCGCGAACACACACACACACACATACACACGTAAACCCATTCACTCACTCACACACAAACACAGGCACCCATATGAACATGCACATACATACATACACACACATACATACACACATACATACGTACACACACACTCATACACACTAAACACACAGTCACCCACACAGACACACGCTCTAAAACAGCGCAGACAGCTGTGTCTGCTATGCAGCCATTACATATTACAATGCCTAAGCCACAGACGCCAACTTATATAAATGCTTTTTAAAATATATTGTTTATAATTACACTGGGGAAAAAAAGTAAGTATAACAGGTTATTACAAACACAAATACACTCCAGAAATTGGCTTGTTTATTAATTGTCTAAGATTGACAGCGGTATGTTAAAACTGGCTCTATATAGCATGCACAAGTTCTTTGTCTAGCCTTTCGTAACATGGATTCATTGCATTAAATAGTCTTCATTTTTTAAAGTGCAGTTTTGATTTGTCTAGCACTGTAAACCCCCCCCCCCCCCTCCCAGCATAAGGTGTAGGTGAAGATTCTTCCTTTTTTGTTGTGTGTGACAGGTGAGGCCATCTCACATCTTCTCCTCACATCTTTCTGTGTAGTTGGCACAGTCTTTAAGACATTTATTGCAACGTTTTAAAAAAAAAAATAATTTAGCTTTTTGGGAAACCTCTGTAATGAAAATAAATATATATATAAATATGTATTATTTACTATCAGTGTGATATTGTTATCAATAAAATAATAGTTCAATTTAAAACTATCGGTAATGTGGTCAACTTCATTGCAGTGGCTGCCTTTACTTCCCAGAACATTACCTGGTACCTAGTCTTGGCTGAGTTGACTTGAGAGCTGAAGATAGGTTTGTAGAAATAAGTTCACCTCAATATGAATTTGGACCCTAGACCTTTGGGTGGGCAGGCTAGCATCTAGCCATTCCACTACCACAGCTCCCAGAATCATTATTACTGTACAGAATAAAGTTTGTAATTTTCAAATAATAACTTTGGTTAAAGTTTAAAAAAACTAACAACAGTAATTATTTTAAAACAAAACATTTACATTTGTCTTTTCAGGGAAATATTTCAGAATAGTTAAGTGTGGTCCTGTGGTTAAGTGATATCAGCATGGCTTCAACTGATAATTTATCATCAAGCAGCCTAGCAACAGTTGCTTCCCAAGTGAAATTCTCAGAGCTGTGTGGACTTCTAGAAAAAATACAGAAAACACAAGGCAATGACAAGAAGAGGAGAATCCTGAAAGATTTTTTTGACAAATGGAGAGAATTTCACCTTCGCCTTCATGAAAATGACAAAAACACAGTGGACTCAGTCTATCCGGCCGTGAGATTGTTGCTGCCACATTTAGATAAAGAAAGAGTTGCATATGGTATCAAAGAGCACACATACGCCAAGCTATTAATTGAGGTCCTCTGTCTTGGCAAAGACAGCCCAGACGCAAATCTACTTTTACATTACAAAGCTCCAAAGACAGCTCGGGCAGAAGCTGGAGATTTTGCCAGTGTGGCTCAGCGTGTTTTGAAAAATCGCTGCCCTGACAAAGGGTTGCTTACAATTGATGAGGTGAATAGAGATCTTGATGCTATAGCTATTGCTAACACTAGCAAGGCTAAAGATACTGTACACAAGCACATGGTTCATTTGTTGACATCACTGAGTGCAACAGAACAGAAATGGCTCATTCGGATGATTATGAAAGAACTCAAGGTAGGACTGAGCCAGTCATCTGTTCTCAATGTGTACCACCCTGATGCTGAGGAGTTATATAATGTGAACAACAACTTAGAAAAGGTGTGCCTAGCACTCAGGGATCCCAAGACAAGAGCTCATGAAGTTGGCATTACCATCTTCTCACCATTTTCTCCAATGCTAGGGGAGAGAGCTTCTCCTGATAAAGTGGAAGAAATTATGGAGAAGAGCATGTACTTCATAGAAACTAAATATGACGGAGAACGATTCCTTCTTCATAAGAATGAAAATGAATATAAATATTTCTCAAGGAATGGTAATGAATACACCCATGTCTTCGGCTCAAATATTTTTGATGGAACGCTTACTCCATTTATTGCCAACTGTTTTAAAAAAGATGTTAAGAAATGTATCTTGGATGGAGAAATGTTGGGGTTTCACGCAGCTTCAAACACTTTCGGAACTAAAGGTGAACAGTTTGATGTTAAATCTCGAGATGTTGTAGAACGGTCTGGTTATCAACCCTGCTTACAAGTGTTTGATATTTTGCTGCTGAATGACAAGGTTTTAACCAACTGCCCATTAAAAGAACGGTTGCCTTTACTTGAGGATGTGTTCTCACCGGTAGAAGGACGCATTGTTAGATCAGTCTACAAACCTGCCTATACAAACCAGGAATGTGCTGATGCACTTAATGAGGCTATTGATAATAAAGAAGAAGGTATTATGGTCAAGCTGGCTGATAGTGTCTACAGACCAAACACCAGAAAAGGTGGTTGGTTTAAGATCAAACCTGAGTATGTTGGAGGTTTAACTGATGAACTAGACCTTCTCATCGTTGGGGGGTACTTTGGTGTTGGTCACAGAGGAGGAATGATGTCGCACTTCTTGTGTGCAGTTGCGGAACCTCCTGTTGAGGGAGAGAAACCAAGTGTTTTTCATTCTTTTTGTAAAGTGGGGTCTGGCTACAGTAAGAAACGGCTTAGAGATTTCAACATACAGCTTGCTCAGCATTGGCAAGTTTATGACAAAAAGAACCCACCAGAACACCTCAAGCTAGCTTCAGGATTTAAGGAAAAACCTGATGCCTGGCTGCTTCCAGAGAAGTCCTGTATTGTACAAGTTAAAGCTGCAGAAATTATTGAGAGTGATCGTTTCAAAGCTGGATGCACTTTACGGTTTCCTAGAGTAGAAATGATCAGAGAGGATAAGCAGTGGTATGAGTGCATGACAACGACTGACATCGAAACCCTCAAACAGAAGTCTGGAGGCAAATTGGCAGGCTCTAGGTTTGAGTTAGACATGACAGAGGAACCTACAAAAAAGAAGCGAAGAACTGCACATCAAACTGTAAAGCCAAAGTTAATGGAACAGTTCAAAGGAATAGACACGTCTACAGTAATACAGGTTTCCAAACTGTTAGAAGGCAAGGAATTCTGTATAATTAATGGGCCATTACATTTTCCTAAACACAACTTAGAAGAAAAGGTTGTTGAAATGGGCGGAGTTGTTGTACAAAACCCAGACACTAAAACACTCTGTGTCATTGCTGAAGCTGATAAACTAACAGTGAGGGTCAAGAATTTGATAAAGAACAACAAATATGACATTGTGAAAGCAGACTGGTTGGTAAAAGTAATTGAATCAAACACTTGGATTCCATGGTCTCCTGCAGATATGATAAGTGTGACTCCAGCTACACAAAAGGTGTTCCAGCAGGGGTTTGACCAGTATGGTGACAGTTACACAGCCTTGACAACAGAGGATGAACTCCAGAATGTTTTCAAAAGAATAAACAATGTTGAACCACTGTCTGAGGAAGAAATAGTGGAACTGGAAGAGAAATATTTTCCCGATGACTCACCTTATGGGCTGTTTAGAACATGCAGAATCTATATTGACAGTAATTTGGTTCTGAGTTTTCCAGACACTCATATCAAGAACTGCCCTTTGGATTTGCTTCAGCTAGAGCTACGATTCTTTGGAGCCACTGTGACAGATAAATTGGACACAAGAGTATCGCATGTTATTGTCCATGAGAAGGACTTGAGTAGAATTGCTCAGATGAAGGAAATCCGTCACTCAAGACAGAAGAAGTTCCATATAGTGAAAGAAGACTGGGTTAGAGCCTGTATGGAAGAGGGAACTGTCTGCTCTGAGAGAAGCTATGAGCTTTAATAGGATATAAGCTTGCTCACTTATTATGCTAAATACTTATTATACATTGTTTCTTTTGTCATTTGTGTAATCACATTCTTTCTTATAATTTCTCTTGAATTTTTTGCCACTGGAGACCTACTTAGGCCCTTGATGAAGGAACAAAATATAATCCCTGAGAAAACATGTCAACAATAGCCATTATTGCGCTCTGTTGGCACAGTGTCTGAATGCTTGTCTGCTGACCCAGAGGTATTGGATTTGATCTAATCAAGATAGATATTTATGACTGAACTCCCCTTCCGGGTTGATCCAGCCTCAAACGGGTATCAAGAACTGTTCTAGTATGTAAAGGGAGCCAGTGTGATTTTGACCACATTACTCATCAAGTGATTTTTAATCCATGCAAATATGGTTTCAGTACCTTATGTCTGATGTTTCATTGGTGTCAAAAGGGTATTTATTTACCAGAGGCCCAGTTCACCAACAGCAGAAAAAATTGTATTTATTTACCAGAGGCCCAGTTCACCAACAGCAGAAACAATTGTATTTATTTACCGGAGACCCAGTTCACCAACAGCAGAAAAAAACAGGTATTTATTTACCGGAGGCCCAGTTCCCCAACAGCAGAAACAATTGTATTTATTTACCAGAGACCCAGTTCACCAACAGCAGAAAAAAGGGTCCACTTTGTTGTTGTTGCTATTAAGCATTAACCTGATCACTTGTCATTCCAAAAATGTTATATATTTTGTGTTTTATGAAGCATGAAATCAGGAGCCGCAATGGTCTAACGGCTAGATGCTCGGCTGCGGATCAAAAGGTCATGGGTTCGGTTCCTGATGAGGGACGGACTCCTTTTTTTAAAATTACCTTGGCTCCCAGGTCAGCCCAGCCTTGAGTGATTGGGTACCAGGTACATTCCTGGAAAGTAAAGGTGGCCAATGTGATGCTGCCCACATCACCCACCAAGTGCTGTTTGGTCTATAAAATATTGGTCTAGCCCTATATACCCAGTATGCCTGACAGGCGTGGAAAAAGGTCTTTTTAATGAAGCATGTAATGAGTTACATCTTTATAATCATTTCATGTGATATATTTGCTGTAAAACTTGTTACTTAGGGCAGTGATTTTCAACCTGGGGAGGGCAAGTAAGTTTTAAAAACTGGGCAGGAAAAAGGGTGGTTGGGGGGGGGGGGGGGACAGCAGTTTTGAAATTTAGTGCATTGGTGCTTGTGAAAATCTGTTATACTAACATTTATCTTTTTAGTGTAATTATAAATAGAACATAAAATGTTTTTTTTTTTATAAAACAGAAAGCCAAGTACATTTGTGCTTTTATGAGCAGTTTGTACATCTGCCATTACAAATCTAATTAATAGGATGATATATGCATTTGATTGTAGATTAAAAACATTCTATTTTTGGGTTTTTTTTTTTTGTCTTTCTCTCTCTCTCTCTCTCTTTTTTTTTTATAACAGCTCATCAAATTTTGCCTTTCATAGTAATGTTCTTCCTAATGTTTCCCTTGGACGTATTTTTTTTTTTTCTAAGACAATTTGTTTTCCATTTCATTGCATGTTTTGTCATTCTTTGCTGATTTCGTCTCAGATTGTGCCCACTATATGTCCACCTTCTTTGTCTTATTGTAATTGATACAGATATTTGTCCAGAATGAATGTCTGATCTCCTCTCTCTTTTTTAATTCATCCCATTTTATATGTGTATATACACACACACACACGATGTTCAAAACCTCAAAACACCTACACACACATATATATATAAACACTCAGACATATATACACTCATATGTATACATATCTATACACACACACACACACATATATATATATATATATATATATATATATATATATATATATATATATATATATATATATATATATATATATATATATATATATATATATATATATATATATATATATATATATTATGTGCATCTATATGTATATGAATGAGTTTTATATATATGTGTGTGTATGTATGTATATATATATATATATTACATATTGTTTGTGTGTGTGTGTATGTATATTATATATATATATACATACACACACACACACACACACATATATATATATATATATATGTATATATATATATATATATATATATATATATATATATATATATATATATATATATATATATATATGTATATATATATATATATATATATATATATATATATATATATATATATATATATATATATATATATATATATATATATATATATATATATATATATTATATATATATATATATATATATATATATATATATATATATATATATATATATATATATATAGATATATATATATATATATAATCTTGTAGATTTTTAAGTAGGGTACCATCCTCAAATAGGTTGAAAACCACTGACTCAGGGCATCAGTTTATTATCCAAAAATTACACTACATTGTTCACAGTCTTACATTTATTGTAGCATATTTCTGAGCATTTGTTTGCATTTCCACATTCCACAATGCCTAGATCAGCAACTCTCAACCTTCCTAATGCTGTGACCCTTAATACAGTTCCCTCATGCTGTGGCGACCCACATTCAACTACTTTCCCTTATAACTTCAATGAGTATGTGTTTTCCTATGGTCTTGTGAAAGGGGCATTCGACCCAAAAAAGGGTCGCGACCAACAGGTTGAGAATCACTGGCGTAGATGAAGATTAAAGTCCGGAGCATGAGCAGCCCAGTTAGAGAAAACTAACTCCTAAAGAGTATGGGGGTCTGAAATGGGGTGTAACTGATTTGTAAAGTGGATACATTTAGGTCACAACAACTGCTCAGTAATTTTCTTTAGCAGTCTTTCCATGCTCCTTCCTTCTTCCCTCCCCAAAATCCCAAAAATTTTGCAGTTTTATATTTTTATATAGGTTTACCTTTATTGACTTCTTGCTGCGGTATCTGTCTTTCATGAGATGTAAACATAATGTAATCTTTTCCCAATAATGTTGGTTCTAATTGTGTATAACAAAAGTGACAATTTCTTAACTGTAAGTGTATCTTGTGTGTTTAGAATTCCTAGGACAGGCAAAAAGTACAACCCAGATGTTTTCAGAGAGGTGAGAGCTCAAAGACAACTTATCACAAACATCAGAAAGCAACAGTCATATTTTTTTTTTCATGTTATGATGTATATATTGTGATCAACATGCCTAAATTGCAACCACTAGAATGATCTGTGGAAAAAAAAAAAGAAGCTGGCGGAAAACAATATAATACAATCCTTGACAACCTTTTGTCATTATGTGGATGGGCGTCAGCACACAAACTGATACATGCTGAAGATCACAGATTGTAGATAGTCATTATCATCAATGCCAGTCGAGCAAGGCACCCGATGATGATGATGATGAAGTATATCTTCTTCTTCTGCCTGTAATTTTCCAGTGGAGCACCGACCTACAAGGAATCGGCTCTAAACTCAGTATGGACCTTTGCGATTGGTTGCATTATGCAGCACTGTGGTGTAGCAGCTAGAGGCTCACCTGCAGATCTGAAGGTTGTGGGTTCAAATCCAAATGAGCTGAACTTTTTTAAAAAATATAAAAAATGACTACGCTCCCAAGTCTAAAAATATAGATGACACTAGATCCGCGCGGGACTAGCTATGTGCTGGTTTGGTAATCTTCTTTGGCCTCCTGCATCGTGCTCTTATCTGCCCTTACCCCCTTTTTACTTGCTGCCCTTGTAGTATGGTCATAGTTGCAGATCAACAGTCATGACTTGATTCTTGCAAACATCTTTTTGTAAAGCATTCAGTATATCAGCCCGGTTGTTTTCTCATCCTACTTCCACATTAGCTTGACCTGCAAGCTTATCAAATTGTTCATTTTATATAACTCTAGAATCCTTAACAATATGATGGTGTTAATTGGAGTGTAGCTGTTAAGTGAATCTGCTACATTTATGTCACAAAAATTGCCTCCAACTGTGTTCTCTTCCCCAAACCGCCAACCCATCAGTTTTTGTTATTTTAAAGTCTTCACTTTAATAACTTACTTTCACCGAGTGGGTTACTGGGCCTCATTTTGGGAAAAAGAATAGGTCCACTCTCCCCTAACATGCAGGTCGTGTAAGGCAAATTTGCTGAAATGTGCTTTGTTGAGTCGAAAAGTGCAGATACCGCAGCCTGGGTGTAAACCACAACCCATAACTTATTAACTGTCCTTTGAGAAGTCTAAAGTGTACTCCAATCTTTTAATTATCCTAATGAGACTTGTTCACATTTGCCGGCCCATCTATATACTTTTTCAGTAGGATGTAGGTCAGAGGGGTGGTGTGACCTAGGCTCAGGCTGTGGATGGGGAGGGGGGGGGTGGGGGGGTTAGGGCCAGTTCTAGATGTACTGAGGTTATTAAAAGCTGTGTCCTCATTGAGTTTAGAACACTTGACATCGGCGCTGATGTAATTGGAGGCAAGAAAACATGACACTCCTCTGACGTAAAAGAGTCTAAGAAAGTATGAATGAAAGGTCAGACAGTGTTAATGGGCCGGGAAATGTGAACAGGACCTCCTAATGACCTACATCAGACAAGTCAGCACAATTTCTACATAAAAATTCTAAAACCAGGCAGGAATTTATTTTTTCTAGCATAGAATACAAGGGCAAGATTAGTAGTAGGAAGAGGAGAGACTGAGTCTAAGAGGAAAGGGTTTAGTAAGGAGCAGGGCTTTTTTTTCTTTTCTGGCAGCTCTAGCCAGTTCCAGCATCTGTTTATAGGCATGTAATTGTTTCAGTGCTGTTGTAACATACACTTTATGGGAAGTGGTGACACCTTTTTTTTTAGAGTGCCACCGCCTTTTTTTCTCTATGAAAAGCCCAAGGTAAGAAAAGAAAAGACTACATAAAAGTAGAAGACATTTTACTGGTTGTTTAAAAAACATTGTTTGAATGAAATTCTTTGTTTCATTTGATACACATTTTGATTTTGAACATTAATTGTCATCATGAAATTTGTATTATAA